CAAACTCCCAGAATGTTTTCTGTTCATTAATGTTGAAAAATTTCAGATGAAATTCTGTGAGTGAATGAGTGTGGATTGCTGGGTTTTTTATTTTCTACAGTAAAGTTTACCGTTTTCTTAATTACCAGAGTGTTGGCACAGAATGATGCCTTCTCTTATGATGTATGATCAAGATACTGAATCATTCCCTTCACTGTTTTATCTTTCAGTTTAGTGAAATAGTATAGCAGTAGAGATTGGCATGCTTTGGCTTAAGGTGTGATGCTACATCTTCTTTCACTATCTCCTAATCCCAACTGATGCACCTTCTTAGAGGGAGAACATTTATTTTCTGTTCTCTGTAAATGAAAGCAAGATGTCTCCGTGTATGCTTTGCATGAGAGAGTGTACCAATACTTGGACAAAATATGTACAGGAAAAAAAAATCAAAAAACCCTGCTCTGCATCATGTAGGCGATTTTTAGTACCATTAACGAGACTCCTGACAGATGAGTTCCATAAACTCTATTATTTGTTTTTTTGAAAGTACACCTTTCTCAGCACATTTCCTTAAATAAAAAGGCCTCAGTTTAGATTACCTTGTGAACATCATTTATGTTGCATGCTGCCTTCTCACTGTTGCCAGGACCTTTCCTTACTCCTGTAATATTTTATAGGCTACTGCTCTTTACAGCCCATGCCGGTTCTGTATTCTGGATGTTTTACAGGCTTTCAGGCAAATGGCATTTTCCTCAAACAGTTTTTTTCCTCCAAGAGAGACACCTGCTTTGTGATGAATGTGGTAGCTGTAACCACTTCTTTTTCAGTCGCAGAAAGTAACTTCAGCTCTGAACACTTTCTAACTGCAAGCAAATACAAATCCCTAAGGAAATGTATTCATCCATTTCTTCTGTGGCAGATTTTTTGAGAGTTGTGGTAGCTCAGTCTTCACTGCTTGCTTAGATGAATGAAAGGAAATACAAAGATTAGTATCAACCTTCAGTGAACTGAAAATCTGTCAAAAGCTGAAGCACTGGGATGGATGTACCAATTTTGATGAATTGTTGGTGTGGTTAGCTGAGGGCTGCAGTTGGCTGAGACACATGATGTGGGGCTGAGAGACAGGAGCTGCAGTGCTGGAGCTGCAGATGTGCAGCGGCAGCAGATGTGCAGCGCTAACAGTGTGGGTGGGCTGGTGCAGTGCCTGTGTGGGAGATGGAGTTGCCAAGGTGGGGAGGCTTTTTACTCAGACTGATCTAATGTAACTAGACCCTGTGGAGACTAAAGTAGTACCACATGAACTTACTGTACTGTGTGATGCAGATGTGTGTTCTCAGGATGAAGTCTATACCCTGCCTCATTCTCAGCATCTTCAGCTAAGCCACCAGGACACAGACGTGTAGGTTCAACTACCCCGAGTCAGCAGACTCATATTTAGGCGTAGTTTTCTTGTGACACGTATAAGATTGTGCACTCACTCCAGGGTTCAGTATGTGCATGCATTCCATCACCAAGCACAAATACTTAAAATTGCTCCAACCTTTTGGTTTGCAGTATCAGTAACCCAGTTCAGGGTGGAAAGCCGTCTTTCAGAGCTCTCACCTCTGTAGTGCCTGAAGCCATAATAAAACATAGGCTTGTAATCAATGGAGAGAGAAAAGGTATTTTGTAAGAAAATTGATCCTAGCTGCTTAGATATTCAGATTAGTTATTTTTATTCATTATATTATTCATGCCTAGTTATTCAGCTGGGATGGAATAAATGACCTTCCAGATGTGTTCATGTCCCTTCAATGCCTGCAGGAGTGGCACAGTTGGCTTAGGGTACGTGTTTAGTCTTGTCTGCCAAAAGAGGAGTGGAATGAACTCCATCTTTAGCAATTCTTACAAACAAGTTAAAGATAGACTAACAGGTAATATTGGAATATGTGTGCATACATTTTTGAGTTTTACTGTCTTTAAGTGCTTGTCAGGAGTGATATTGCCATATTAGAAGATTCTCTTTGGGGTTAACGTCTACCTCTTCTAGCCAGAATTTATCTTCCCTAATGTTGCCCTACATTTAGATGTTTTCTCAAGGGATTAAAATTGTGTTAATATATTGATTTGTTTTTGTTTAATTTGTTTTGTTTTATCTTGTCTTGCTCAGCATGACTTTTGCTGCAATCAAATTGATAATGAAAAGGGGGAGAATTTTTGTCTGGTTTTTTTTTTTTTTGCAATGTATCATTCATGAAAGAGTAATCACAAGAGATACTATTATTTTATCATGTCTATGTTTATTGTATTGTTTATTTTATTTTTTTATTAAAGCAAGGTTTCATGATGTTCTCCTTCAAAGAAGCCATTTCTCTCTTCAGCAATTTTCTACATGTACAGATCCTTTAAAATAGAGGGGATGATCCTTCTTACTAGCAGTGTTTATCAGCCCAGAGCATGTCCCCAAAGCTGGAAGAAAATGGGGGAATCAGGATAGTTCTAACTATTATTCTGTCATACTCTCAGCAGTAAAATATGAGAAAACACAGGGATTTACTTTACCTGTAACATAAGTGAGTTGAGAAATACTCTTCAGTATTTCTTGGAGAGTGGCCATGCACTGCTTACAATGCCAGCTGTGCAGAAGTTGTAGACTGCTGCTCTTGGTTGTTTTTATCCCAGAATAACTCCTGGTAAAGACTTTTGGGGCTGCATGACACCTGCAGTTTTCCTAAGTACAGTATTTAAAATATATATTCTTACAGCAGAGCTTTAAATTTTAATTTCATCCTGCAGGAATCAGATTCTCTAGAAAGGTAGTGCTTACATCTAATTAGTCCAACTTGCTGCCCCAAGTATGTTCTTTACTTTTCTGCCAACTGATACCTCTTCTTTTTTTTCTTTTACCATGTAACCATCATTTCTGCCCTTTAGACAGATTATTCTTGGATGAAAACTCTCATACATACCTAGTACCTGGACAATATAATAATATTTCTGATTTCACAAGTCTTTCAGGATAAAGTATTTGAAAGGAGTGTCACAACATTTGTGATAGAAGTACAAGGGAAAATAAAGGTAACTGCAGATCACGAGGGTAGGCTTGTATGAATTGTTTTTAAATTTATATATTTTTTTTTCTGAGCTAGAATTATTTGACATGAGAGTTTCTGAGAATTTATTCTGAAGTGAAAACGATAGGAGCAGTGACTTCCATTTCCATTAGCAAGACCAGTCTGGTTTAGTGACACACTTCTGCTTGCATTGTTCTGGCCTGCCTGTAATTAAAGCACACTTGAAAGCGTGTATATATATATATATATATATGTCAGTTTGATTAGCCAGAAGAATTTTCTAGGTTATCTGTTGTTATAAGGAACATTAACAAAGAGAAATACCATGTAAATTCTATTTTTCATCTTGTACATTGAAAATATCACAAGCCCATTGTGTTTATTTTTTTTGAAGCAGTCATCAGCACTGTCTCATTAACTAGCATAATTATTTATATTTACCCACAACAGGACTACATTTGCCTTGTGCTCATTCTTCCCAGGGTTTAGTGACTGCCAGTAAATTTACTGCTAGACCTTAGTTACACTTCCTCTAGTGTTTGTATAGTTAATTTTGTATCATAATAATGGAGTTTTGCAGGATAAGCATTTACAAGTTTGCTTTAGTGATCTCCACTGCACAGAATCACATAAATATGTTCCATATTCAGCAGGAGGTGAGACAGTGTAGCTACATCATACAATGATTCTGAAATGCTTTAGTTGCATTGGTTTAATTGCATTTAAGAAAAGTGGCTGCATGAGAGGCTCTGTAAATTACTAATGTGGAAATTTTTTTGGTGGATTTGGAATTAATGAAGAGGAAAAAAATCACAATGCTTTAAAAGACTTAGAATGTTTCAAATGATGACCCACTCCATTGTATTGAGTACAATCACGCAAAACTTTATGTACAATGATGCAAAAACTAAAATACATTAAAAATATTTATTCATGATAAATTTTAAATAGTCAATATTTACAAAGAAATAGTAATGATAAATTCACGGCTTTTTATGATTATACATTAAAAGTTAGTCAAAGAGCAACGACTGTACTTCAGAAACAAATACCTTAGAGTGAATATCCTTTAGTGGAAGAGGTATTATTCAAATTAACCAACCCATTGACAGTTTTCCTATTTGTGGTAATGTGTTCAATATTTATACAATATTTAACAAGCAAATAAATGCTCAGTAAAAAAAGCTTACTCATTCAATATTTCTTACAATGTGTTAAAAAGAAAGTCAGTATCTGTCTGGAAGGACGAAGCAACCTGAAGCCAGGATTGTAATCATTATAATGCTCAATAGAATGCTAACCAAGGGAGCTTAAAGGAAGGAAAAGAGAACGAAAAAGATGTAATCTTCTGCAGCACACTATAGTACCTTGGTATTTCATTAAAAAAACTGAAGGTCTTGTAAGGCTTGATTAGTCAACATTTGGGCATTCCAACTGGTATACACCCATGGGAAAAGTCACAGCTCTCTTTGTGCTCTTCCACTGCCCTGATGAAAAGAAGGCAATAACAATGTGTTCTTATAAGCAAGGGCTATATAGCTAGGTACAGTGAAAATTTGCTAGATGTGTAAGATGAAGGGCCCTAGAAAGCAGTGACTTTTAAAGGAGCTTTTTACCTTACTCTGGATACACAGGATCTTTGAATGAAAGGTAGCTGCTAGTGTAACTAAGCAGACAATATGATTCCTTGTTATTCAGTAGGAAAAATGAAGAGGAGCCAACATTACTGTCTGTGGATGTGTATTAGTATATCCATTGATGCATTATACTTGGTTCTTACATCTGCATTTCAAAAGACTATGGAAAAAGTGACTGGATTTTGGGGAAAATATGAATGAGTGCTGGAATCTGCATGGTATGAAAACCTGTGGTATGTAACTCACCCAGGATTAGTTAAATAGTAACTTTTTCAAGACTAGGAAATACTCAGAGGACAAAATAATCTCTGAGAGATGGCTGTTTAATCTGGCATAAAGAAATTGGAAGCTGAACCTGGATGCATTCAGATGATAAATAAAACACTGTTTAGCAGTGAAAGTATTAAGATTTTGGAATAAATTCTTGGGAGTATGGTGGTTTACTTTGATATTTTTAGGTCTAACCTAGATAACTATTTTAACCAAAAGTTGTGGGGTTGAGGCAGGATTTAGTAGATGGCATCTTTCAGCCTGTGTTATATGGAAGGTCAGTTTAAATAGAGAACCTGTGCAAAAGATTTATCTTCCTAACAGCCTTCTACATGTTTATTAGCTTTGAATTTTCCCTTTACAGATAAAACAGTAAGTAGGTGTTCCAGTGTGAGAGCGAATAGTCCAAAGATGTTTTTTCTATCAGATCTCTGGCTGAGTACTGTATGTAAATACCATTTGAGCTTTCCTTACTTTGAAATTTTTCGAAGCACTTTGACTAGTTTTTGATGGCTTTTTCTCTTTTCCTACTAAAGAAAAATCCACACTGAGATCAACTACTTTTATGATCCCTTTCACCTAACTGAATAAAGTAATAAAGTAATATTTCATGCAGACTGATAAACGTTCAAGATCTTCTATCTTTTCTCCACCCTTTTTCCTGTGTTGTTGTTCCTAGCATCTGAAAGAGCTTTCAGATGCTTTTCAGACTTGCAATCAAAAATTTTTGTTACATTGATGTTTATGCACAACACTACATAAATGCTGAGTAATAATTATAGCTGCCAGTCAAGATTATTTTGTTCTATTCAGAAACCCAAACTCATTTAACAGTGCTTATATTTACTTTGACTGGCTGTAATGAATAGCCTGTGAGTATCATTGCCTTCCATAAAATGAAAGGATGAGTTTTCTAAATTACAGCAAGGTAACTCTCCAATAATTTTTTATTTCGTTTCAGAAATCTACTTTTCTGTGCAAATTCTCTTTTGATTTGTCTGTCTATGATTGCTTGGTCCCATTAACAAGGAATCTTACACCATTTTGATGAATGGCATTCTGAAAGGATGTGCTATGTGGGAGTCACATTTCTTGGGCCAAGCTAAAGGTGGACTGTTCTGTGAAACTTCTATCACTGTTGTATGAAATATAAATGAACTGTGAAACAATGCTTAAAAAAACAAATAATGATTGTGATTTAAAATTCTGTACCAGAAAACAGTTACTGTTAAAGTACTTCAGAGTTTTTTTGTGGTGCTGTCAAGCTCATTCATCTTAGTCTCTCCAATTTATAATGAAACTACCTGCTTATCTTTCTAAAATGTAGCCAGAATGAATCTTTGTTAAATGAACCCATATGATTTAAATCATTAATTTACACAGTTTGCTTAGTTTCCCTGATGCTGTTTTAAATGTATTCAACCTTTAAATGAGAAATAGGCCCAGATCTGTATTCTTGTAATTGAACAATTTTAATCTTACTTTGACTGGAGTAAATGGAGAATAGCGTAATTTGTGCTGCTGTTATTGTGCTGGTAACAGATAACTATAGAAATACAGTATATATGTCCCAAAGGGAAATCAAGCAAAGCAACTCCTTTGTTTATTGTGAAAATTATGATGAAGGAACCTACCTGCTCCTGTCTTGGCCTTCTGTGATCCTGTCCCTTGTGAAAGGAAAGCAGGACTATCTGAGGGGCAGTTGTGCTTACTTATGCATACCTGGAATTTTTAGTCAATATATCTCCCAGTAAAAATAGTGCCAGAAGATCTTGAGTATGAGCTCAGTTTTTAGACAAAGAGGCAACAGTTTTAAAATTTTGAGTTATTGTGGGTGTATGTTGCATTTTCTAGGGAAAAAACCCAAATCAAACATCTCAAAATGTTTTTGTTTTTTTTTTTTTTTATGGGGGGGCTGATAAAAACAAGAGATGTCTGTTTTCAGGTTGCTGTTATTTTTGGACAGTCTCATTTTCTGTCTTCTGGCTCTTTGCATGTAATTATGATCCAGTTTTGCTCCCTTTGGAATTTATGGCAGTGTTCCCACTGACACCAGTGGTTTGGCCTTATGTTTGGCTCTGGACATTTTAATTCTGATGTCCTGACAAAATTTCAATACACATAATTATGTTCTGGCAAGCTGAATTCTACTTTATTAATTTGTGTTTGCACTGAACCTAGAAATTCTTCTCAGTCATCATGCCAAGAACTCTGCTGTCATCATAGAATTGTATGTGCCCATTGCTCTGGAATTATTGTGGCTGAAACATTGACAGATAGAAGAGAGCATTCACTTTTTTCTGAGTGAATGAATGGTGCCCTAACTGCAAGCAATCTTTCACAGAAAGCCATGGAACATTTTCAGATGTTGTCAGTATTGTGCTATGATATGTGCTGTAGAGATGCTTGTGGTAGCCACTAATTTAGCAGTCTGGTTTCTACAGACTCACAAAAGATGCTCCGTGGACGTGTTTATCAATACAATTTTCCTAAAATAACCCAACAAACAAGCAAAAAAACCCCCACCAAACATGAGACACCCCTGGTCTCCCCATCTGGAAAAAAAATTCCGAACAAGGAAAAGAAAACCAAATGGTGAAAGTGATAATTGTATTTTTGGTTATATGTTCCACACTTCTCTGTTTAGATTTTTAAACAATGACAGAAAGGAAAATTCTTTTCTAATTTCAACAATAAAACTGTTTTTTTTTCTATTCCGTAAAGTACTAAATAGAGCTGTGGGGAAATTAAGGACTTTATCAGTATGAATTGTTCTTTCTTTCCCATGACAAAGATGTTTCAGACTGCTAAATAAATTTAAAGTGCAAAATTTGCAGTGACTGAGACTGTTATGAATTGCTGTACTATTAGCAACTAGGCAACAACCATAGTAACTGCCATTCTCTGGTGGCTTCTCTTGAATCTAAGCAAGAGATTTTTTTTTTCCTTTTAAACTCATGCATACACAAACACCAGGATCAATATATTGTTTTTCTAATCTTTTTTTCCAAGGCAGACACTCCATGAGTCATGTTTTTTATATCACAGAGACGCTTACTAAGCTTGAAAGGCTTAAAATAGGGCAGCAAACTTCTTCCAGATGGGCAGAAGCCAAGCTGCCCTCCTGAACTCTGGGTAACTACCTGGGAAGTGGCTTGGCATTTCTGGCCATACCTTAACCTTACTTTCAAGGAATGTGATGTATGGCATGTGTTGAGCCAGAACCCTCAGAGAAAAAGCAGTAATATTTATAGTAGTATATTTTGTCATGCTAGCTGACCTGAATTAAGCTGAAAAAACTAGGATTGTAGAAAATCAGGCATTCAAATCATTACTGGATGATATGACCTTTTCAATGTAGTTTGTACTATTTTTACGATTGCTAGATTTTTTTTAAGTGTGCTTATCTCTCTCTCTCTATATATATATATGTATAAAACTATAACTATTATTTTTGTAAATGTAATGTTAGAAATGTACATGTCACAGAGCTGGTGGCACCTGTTCCTGTGACTGACCATTGTAGGAGAATTGGAATGACACCAGAATTGCTATGCTGCAGAGAAGTGTTTCACTGCTAGAGATATTGCCTTCTGGTGTCACAGGGATACTATCACCAGAAAAATAAATACCTCTGGCTAAATATTTGCTAGTTAACAATGCAGGCATATGCTAGTAAAATCTGTATGGTGCATTTATGATTTTATCTAAATAACTATGTTCGTTTGATCATTCTCTCTCTGTTATTAGGGATAAACTTCCTAAAACTTATGCTGATATGCCTGAATATATATCTCTCAGGCAGTTATAGAAATCTCTAACCCTGTCAGAGCTCTGAAGAAAGAAACAAACACTTGTTAGCTGAAGCTTCTGCAGCTTCTCTTCTGAAGATATGTATGTGAAGTGTCCCATATTTTCTTATACCCGTATCATTGACTGAAGAAGGGGTTTTTAGTATGTATTCAAAACTCAACTAATAAAGAAATCTAGAATTTTGCAGCTTTAAGTACAATTATTTTAGAAAGTTCTATTCGTGACTTGTGACATACTTTCACAGAACTTCTCCAGTATGTCCAATAATGTTATGCACAGTTTAAACAGAAAAACATTTTTATTCAGATTATCGTGATTGAAGTCCTTTGACTTTTATCTTTTTACAGAAACTGAAGATCTGTATGTCAAATAATTCATCTTTCTATGCATGTGTGAGTGTGAATGGGTGAAAGAGAAAGACCTGTATTAATGCAGTTGCCTGTATCATACTGTATATGCACAAATTTCGGACAGATACTTAATCTGTAGAAATTTTAAAAGCTAAATGCTGTTAACATATTTATAGTACAGTATGTAGTGTTTACTAAACATAATATTATTTTACTGAGGTGCTTGTATTATATAAAAGGTATAGTCTGGATACTGTGCAGAGCTATATATATTTGATGACAATAATATATAGCCTTTTTTATTGGTTATCAGCATATTATTAAGCTGAACTGTTTTCTGATTGTGTAGACAATGATTATTTATCTGAAAACAAAGTATGAATGGAGACCACGAGTTGAATTTGTTATATCTGTTTTTCTTACTACTTCCCTCTGCTCTCTTCAATTTAAGGTTGCCTTTGCCTCCTGGAGCATTCTCAGGTCTTTGGGAAAATCAAGAAACATTTCAGAAGTTATATTTCCAAAAATTTCCAGTAAGAACTATGAAATTATTTAAACTTCTGGTAATGCTTCAGAACTGAATGAAAACAGAGTTAACCTGGGAAACATTTTATCATAAGTCGTCATAATTTCATTGGAGGTCTTTGATATATATATATATATAATTAAAACCATTTCAAGATAAATCCTTTTTCACCTATAATTTCAACTCTTGGGTATGCTTTTGTTTTTTTTAAGATCTGAAACAGGAGAAGTAAACCATGAGCTTCTGAGCCAAAAAGTCAGTTCATGTCATTTAATCTAAAATATAAACCTGCAACCTTACACTAGCGCAGCTTCAAATACACTCCTCCTGTTGGCATGCAGCCACGCTAACTTGGTATCACTCCAAAATACACACTTGTCCATAGTGCATCTGAATACATTGGAGGCTCTTTGCTGCATTAGTTGTGTTTCCTTATCAGCTGAACTATGCAAGGATTGGCCTGTTTCTTGTAGAAATAGGTAGGTTTGCCCTACACAAATGTTCAAAATGGAAGATTTGGCTCAATGAAAGTAAATGAGTGGATTGATAATGCAAATTATTTTTAGTGTGCAGTTGCATTGTGATGACAGTGTATGTTTGGATACAGCAAACAGGAATATCCCTAGGAGCAATTTGACAGCTGTCATTATATTGCAGCAATTCCATTCTCCTTGTGTAAATCCGGGCAACATCTTTCTCTGAGTTGTCAGGGATCAAAGTAAGCAGAGTTGGAAAAAAGTCAGGGTTTATCTATTTTTTTTCTGTTGTGTATTAATAAAGACAACAAAACCTTTCTGGAAAGGGAGCTGCACAGGATAATATAATATAAAAATGGTGACAAATATTACAGAATTAAATCTTTCAAGCACCAAAAGCATATATAATTTGAAACAGGTCTGGATTGTTTTTTTTTAATTTTTGGGTTTCGTGGTAAATTAATTAATATTCCTAGTACTCTGACTTTATTTTTCATTGTTTTGTATTTAGGGATATTATGATACTATGGATGCTGGTTATATGGATGAAGATGGCTATCTATATGTCCTGTCTCGAGCTGATGATGTGATCAATGTTGCTGGACACAGAATTTCAGCAGGTGCGATTGAAGAGGTTAGCATTGCCTGACAACAAAATAGAAGAGGAATAAAGCAAGCTGAGACTGAAAATCCCACATTTCATCACATCTCGCATCTCAAAAACTTGCACAAAAAGATCTCTCATTTTCTTTCTGCTTGTTTTGTTTGCATTTCCATTGTACTTCAAACCAAAACATTTCCTGTTTCAGGTTCTTCCTTTAAAGATGCTTTCCAGAAACATAACAAATTTAGTCAATAATACTAAGCAGTTTGTACCATGCAATTGGTAAGGCAGGCATATTTTGGTATTTGAAGGTGGAGTTAAGGGGTATGGTAGGAATCATACGTTTTGGCTCCAATAACATATTTATTTGAGAATACATTAGGATAGTGTGGTGTCAGAGTGACAGGTATTTTCACCAGTTACTGTAGTTACTTAGGATTAGAAACTTTTTTTCCTAAAATACAGTGCTCAGTGTTGGTTGATTTTTTTTATTTTTTTTTTCAGAGATTCTCATTCAGTGTTTTTTCTTGATTGGAAGACTTCAGAGTTTTTTGACAGCTTTTTTGTCTCTTATTGTATGAGCAGTGCTAAATGAACAATGAAAATTTCTGTAAAAACCCTGCTGTTAAATTGAAAGTCATTAATGTAATACCCATGCAACTCAAAAAAGTTGAAAATAGCGAAGTTCATAATAGTGTCTGAATTCCATATCATTGTTCACTCACCTTTCTGGAGTCACTGTGATTGATTGCCAGTTACAAATTTCCCTGATGATATATCAATTGTTTATTCAGGGAGTATAGGAAAAGGTGTGCTGGGCATGTACAAGAGAAAAATATGCTTTTAAGAACTCTAAATTTAACTGTTCACTGAATCAGAAACTAATCTGTGAGTCATTTTTTGGTTTATAATGTCTCTTAGTCTAGTGACTATTTTATTTTGAAGGCTAGAAATCTTAGAAGAGGAGAAATTCTGATTACACAGAAGTGAACAAGTTCACATAAACAGGAATCCATCAAGGATCTGTCAGCCAGGGAGTTGAAACGGCTGCTACCCTGATTTGGATCTATGGAGATAAAAAGGTGCTTTCAGTCTGCTTAAACCTCTTCCACTTAGAAGTAGTTTTTTGTGTTCCCTTACTAAAGCACAGCAGGAATCTCATCCCCACCCCTTACTGCTCTACTAATGGGCCAAGCTGGGCATTTTCTTTGCTTCAGCCTGAGTCTGATGCTGTAACAAATTATGAATTGAATCACCTCCTCTGCTGTATTACTTTTGGATCCATCATACTGAGCTCAGCATCTCTGTTTTTCTCCCTGCTAGTTAGGTCTTTCCCCTAGAAACATTTTTCATCACTGTGACATTCTAGAAGCTTTTCTATTCACAACAAAACTAAAAACCAAGAGTAATGTTAATGCATGCACAGCAAATTGCTAGTTAAATAGCAAAGTGTTAAGAAGACCACAATTGGCTCCTCAGTAAGATCAGTAAATACAGAATTCGAGGTCCATTGAATCACTATGTAATTGACAGTCACCTTGTTGAGCAAGTATGTTATCATTTAAATTATAGCTGCATTACAAGTTTAACAAGCTTTTCCTTAGTGCTTTGATTAAGTGTTTTAGCTCTGTTATGTTCCACACAATTAGTCCCTTTGTCTAATGTATTTGTTAATATTATTGGAGTTCCTTGTTTACTGCAATGCAGTAGATGTTACAGTTTACCTGGCCAATCAGTGAATGGTGGCCATTATGGCCAGTGAATGGTGCCCTCAACTTGATCCACCCCTCTCTTTGGTCTGTGAATCTGTGGTGTTCCTTCTTGCCCCTTCCAGAAAAAAAAAAAAAAAGCTTAATCAAATCTTCACTATCTGAGGCAACAGACTTGAAACTGAGGAATTTATCTTGAGAAATCCCTTTCCCCTCATCATGATGTTTCTGTCTGCTGCCACATTTGCCATCCATCCTTGTGCCCAGTGATCATACTAGGAAAACCATTTCACTTCCTCAAGTTTCTTACTTTTAAACAGTTTTTAAATGTCTAGTGCTGTTTCTGTTCTTCTTTTCAGTTGTTTTACAAAGTTTGATAATTTTAAAATTAGTATTTACTAATTACTGATTTCAGTCATTTGAAGTTAGCATTTGAAAAGTCGAAGGCATATCAAAAGCATTTCTTCAGTCAAAAGACTGAAGAAAAATTCTACAATAACTACACTATTCCAGCTAAGCATAAGACTTAGGAATACATGATAGACTGGAATGACAAAAACAAGGTACAACAAAACAATCTGGCAACATTTAAGTCTCCACCTTAGGAGTCCTGTTGATGCCTGATAGGTAATTATGATATTTAATGGTAATGCCGGTTTACTGTAGATCTTTCTTCTGTGTTCCTGTGGAAAACAGTATTTACTGTGGTTGTAGACTTAATAGTCTACTTTTCCATAATTCATTGTCTTTTTCTTTTATGCTTTTATTGGGGTTTTTTTTTGTTATATATGCCTATCAGGTTTCTGTGGCCATGGTCAAGAAATTAGAGCAGGAAAAAATGGGTATTTATAGCAGGAAAGGGAATGCATTACTGAGGCTCTGACCTGTAAGTGACCAAAGTGCATTAAGCGTATGTGATGCATTGGAACCCTGTAGGGATTTGGACTTGCATAATATTAATTCCTATATTATTTGTCAGTGTGGATACAATGACTTTTGGACAAAGAAGGCTGCACCTGAATTCGAATGCATTTGTGTATATTCAGCTTTTTGAAGCAGGCTCTTCTGCCCGTCTAATTCTGGTATAAGCCCAGTGCACTCTTCTATATTTAGCTTGTGAACATCCTATCTAATTCCTGTGAAAAATAATCCAGTTTCAAAAGCTGTGCATAAATGGTCATGCTTCTGTACTTTGATAGAGCATGCATCTACTGTTAGGTCAGTGTTTTGCATTTGCCTTTTTTCTGGCATGGGACATTTCTAGGATCATAGTTTGTGAAATGAGTATAGCTTCTGACAAAGTGTGCTAGAAACATGTTGAACAGTTTTATTTTGCTAAAAACTACTGGGTGTGTGTTGTATTGACCATGACACATGGAGTCAGTTTCTCCTTTCTGTTTTTACTGTAAAGCTTAAGGATGGTGAAATCTGTTTTGAAGATGGGTTATCATAGACCCTTTGAATTATTTCTTCCCCCATAAGTTTCATAAACAGGTCATACAAGAGCCTCCCTTTTGTTAATTGGAACAACAGTGATTCAGCTTTCCATTCTTTCAGGTTTTTTTCCTGTCTTCTCTGTACTTTTTCTGTCTTTCTCATTCTCACACAATTGTATGAGTAGCCAGTGCAAATGTGGTATTCCTGCTTAATAAAAACAACCAAAATTGTCTGTATTCCTAAAACCCGCTGCCTTTGATTTTGGCAACACAGTAGGTGAAGTTCAGTTATTAGTAAGCACATAGCTCTTGTATGCACAGATAAATTAACAAGCACAATCACATTATGTGGCTTCTGTGTAGGGTCAGGTTAGGTCTTCCTTGTGGTCGAGTTCAGAGGACTGAAAAGTGATGAAAGCCCTGTTGACAGCAAAATTACCCAAGGCGCATTGAAAAGAGCCAGTTGCTTTGGGAGAGGATTCACAACTGCTGACATCTTAAGGCCAGCTTTGTCCCAGACTTGGTGACATACATCTTGGTATGTACTGAGGCATCTTGGTGACTGTTTTCCTGGAATCGAGTACTTCAGCTGGCTAATTGGAAGCTTACCTTTTTTTACCTAAAAGAGAGTTTGATATATTTTATCAATGTGATGTGTAAACATGTAGTAGGGAGGAAGGAGGCTCTGGTTTAATTCCCTTTTTTTGTCTCAAGAGGCTGACACCAAATATTTCCAAGACAGTGATCTGAGCTAGGCTGGCTGCAAGCTGAAGCTGGGCATGTATTTGGCCTTGATTGAAACTATGCTTTTACAGCAACAAAGAATGAAAAAATAAGAATCAGAGAAAAAGAACCAATATAACTTCGTAAGTCTGTAGTAGGAGTGCTTCTGTGGTTTCGGTTCTTACTCCCTGCATTTAAGTCCCATGTTACTCATAATGTTAAAAAATGTTATTTGTTCAGCAGAGATCTCAACAAAACCAAAGACATGATACTCTCACAAAGCTGTAAGAAAATTACCTGTGGTTTGTTAAATATTTCTATTTCGTGCTGCTAAAGTTTTTATTTCTTTTGTGTGTTTGTAAACGTGTGTGTGAGTATACATGAAAATATATACACATGTACATCTTCAACACATGGAATCCTGAGGAATACTGACCTTTTACTGTCAAAATGTAAGAAAAAGTCTATGTTTTTTGTTCATACCATACAATTTTTTTCACTGAAATGTTATCTGTTATTAGTTCAGTTTAGTTTTCTTTTCCATCCCTCAGTGTATTCTCTTCCATCCTGCTGTGGCAGACTGTGCTGTTGTGGGCCAGGAGGATCCTTTAAAAGGTCATGTTCCATTTGCACTGTGCGTACTGAGACAAGGTGAGAACTCTCTGATAACTGATGTCACTAACACTTGCAAAAGTCTCAGAAAATATAAGAGATTTTGCCTTCTTCACTAGGTATAAAGACACAAGAGAGTAAGATTTTGAAAGAGATTGTTGAGCGAGTTCGGACCAACATTGGTCCAGTAGCAGCTTTCCAGAAGGGGATGTTTGTGACACAGCTACCAAAAACACGCTCTGGCAAGATTCCACGTTCTGCTCTTTCTGCACTCATCAGTGGAAAGCCATACAAGGTAAGCTAGAGGTGTTTGCTATGTTTGCTTCAATGAATTAGGCACACATCACATCCAAAGGCACGACATGGTGTTTTTGATCCTCTTGACTGTTCTGCAACTTGTTCATGACTTCAGGTAATACTTTATGTTTTATTTTTATTGCAGGTTATCCAAAAGATTTTCATATTTCGCTGCTTTACAGATACTTTTTTCTAGTTTGATTTTGAAGTATAAATTTAGAAGAATCTCTGAATGAAATTCTTATCTACTATCACATGCTACTGTATTCTTCCTTTTCAGATAACACCGACCATTGAAGATGCTAATGTGTTTAAACACATTGAAGAATTGCTAAAGAAAAATTAAATACATAAGTACATAATAACAAGAATTTCAATTATTCAAGTATACAAAGAAGCTTTTTTTTGTTAAGAATACCACACTTTAAAAACAAGTAATGATTTGGGAGTAAATGTTTTTACTGCAGAAACATTACTGAGTTCTTTACCAACTTGCCACAGCCACTGACACATAGTAAAGTCTTTACACACTGTCAATATATGCTGGTTATTAAGATGGCTACGAATTGCAAATAGAATGCATTAATTGCTGTAGTCCTTAACAGAAGGAGTCATTGGATTATCCATCTTATATGGTGTCATGTAACCTTACATTTCAATCTGTTATTTTATAATGTGACCAGTAACTTTTGTTTGGCTAAAGCAGCTTACAAAAGGTGAAACATGAACAGAGGAAAACAAAAAAGGAATTTGCTTGTGAAAACTGTTGCAGACATAAATTGTTCTTACTTGTAAATTATAAGCTCTTGTCTTTTAGATTTTTCTAAAATTAAAAGTTTTAAGATTAGTTCTCCTGATTCAGTTTTCCCTTTTTTTTCCGTAAGTCTTTCTGCTATAAATTACATCTCTGTAATTTTTTTTACTCAGTCGTTTTATGAAGAGTCTTTTTTGTAAAATGATAAAAAAAATTCTGGTTTTCAAATCTGTGAAAATCTTGATTTTTCCACAGTAATATTCAGAAAACCCCGTGTAAATTAAATAAAGGCAGGCATTTACCCTTTGCATTTTCTGTTAATTTTTTTGTGGTTTGTGTCCCTTATGATAAGGAAAACCAGAATGTGCTGTCATAATTAAACATTTTAGGTTGAGATACATATAACCAAGAAATTTAGCAAATATGGATACTAAGCAGCCCATTCTGGACTTTATAGGTCATTTCATACTTGTTACAGGGTTCTCAACAAGCCAGGGGATGGAGGATACACTTTTTATATACATCTCAAACTGTAGGTATTTGAGCAATAAATGTAAAAGTCCTTTTAAAAGTAGATGCTCCCAGAAAAGTATAAAAGCAGAAAAGTTGCTCAAACTCAGCAATGCTTACCAGAGAAAGAAACAGTAAGTAACAGACAAATTCAGATGATGTTGTATAAGAAAGGTCCTCAGAAGGGTCCAGAAATACTGCTATGTGGTGGTGGATAGAGGTAAGGATGATATCCCTGTAAAGTGAAGAAGTAAACCGACAGATTGATGTAGGAACTAAAAGGTGATAGGTTCCACTTAACGTGAGTCATACCCTGGTGGTGCCTTGTGCCTGTGACACTTTTGTGGAGTTGGTGAGCTCTGCCAGTTACAGAAGAACTAAATAAAATGTCCGTGTGTTTTTTCACTAGGGATTGCAGACAGCTGGGCCAGTCATGTTGAACCAACCAGGTCATACAGTCATGCTAAAACAGCCCAGTTTGAGCCTGTGCTGTCCTTGTTCTTTGTTAAATCATTGCATAAGGTGCCCCCCTCCCTCTCAGCTATTCACTTCAGTTGAAAATCACCATCTGAAGAGGGAATAAAACATGCAAAGACTGAGTAAAGGCTAATGATGCTTTATATATGCTAAATATACAAGTTGGAGATTTCAAAGTGGGAATAATTTTGCTCTCCAGAGATGTCCTTACAACTTTCATGAAGTACTTCTTACAGAAGTGGCAGTTAGTTTAAGATACTATTATCTTCTGGATGAATTATTCAAATAGAAAGGCTTTAACAGGAGGCCCACACCAAATAATGGACTGACTTGCAGAGACTTTTTCCATTTCACAATGCTACAACTTAGCAACCCGTGCTGAACAGTACAGAGCGCGAGGGAATTTTTGGGAGTTGTCAGTGGAGTGTTTTTGTTAAAATGAGTGAGACCTACAAAGGTCTTACCAGAGAGAAACTGGCACATTCACAAGGTATGTGGTCGTTACTTTTACAATTGAAGGTAAGATATTGTGTACGGTTGCTGTCGTTACCTTGGCTGCAGTAGTCATGTAATTGCAAGAGCAGGGGAGGGGAACTAATTAGTAAGAGCAAAAACTCTGCTGAAGAGATCCTGCAATGCGTGTAGGAGAAGAGAATTGATTTCCTAGGTCTTGCATAATTTTCCCAATGATAGCACATGCTCCTACACCAGTTTGCAAGGGAAAATAAACTGCTTTCTAGTTTGGGTCTCTTCTTTTAAGGAGGTGAAAAAAACCCCACAAAACCCCAACAGCATTAATAATTGATATTTAGGCATGCACTTACCTTTCTGAATGGCTATGTGCTTACATTAATATTAGCAAGAAACAATTACCTTTCCTGTGAATTGTTTATGAGGAGCTTCAATAAGCAATATTCTTAAGGTATTTGTAATAACTTCTGAGGAATCCTGAGCTGTTTTTTGGGTTTTTTGGGGTTTGTTTGTTTGGGGTTTTTTTGGGGGGGTTTTTTTAGTGTTCTCTTTTTAACAAAAAATCTTGCGGTTTTTTTTTTCCCCCCTTTCTCTCTGTTTTGGTAGAAGTCATTCAGATCAAGACTTGTATTTTAAAAGAGGACAGAGCATTCAGGTGTGTTCACTGTACTACCACACTGGTAAATTCCAGAGAATTCCAGAAATGCCAAATGTCTCATGTATCAACATTCAGAAAACCCAGACAAAGAAAGGCACCTTATTGCAGCAATACAGTATGGCGAATTCATTGTTTCATGGATATTACTTTTGTTTTCCAGAGGAGCCTTTTGCAGTAATTTTCTTAATTTTGTTTTTAGAGAGAAGCAGCAATTGGGAAGATTTGAATGGTCAGTGAGTTACTGAATTTTGGCTAGAAGAGGCAGCTATAGTAGTTCTCAGTGTACTGACAGAATTAGAGTCAAATAGGCAACATTTAGCATAACCACAGTTTCACAGGTGTAGAGGGTAGAGCTTCACCTTTTGTGAGGGAGACAGGGATGAATTAGGAGACTTGATATGTTATCCTTAAATCAAAACTGAAGTCACAATAATACTATTTTAAATTCTTCTGGTCTGTTTTCTTCCACTGTGAAAAATATAATTTGCAGGTGCTGTATTCATGGGGCATGGCAACTTCTGCACTGGTCATAAAATCTGGCTCATTCTTTTCCCCAACATACTTCATTCCTCTTTGGCCCCTAAATTTTAGTGTGGGCTGCAAAAGGAATTCTGTGAAAGAAGAGCTGGTGTTTATGAGGGAACGTGTATTGACATGATAGTGCTGCCACTGACAGTGGCAGTGTTTGCATTGCTTTACTTTGTGACATTCTGCACTAAAATAATCCAAAAGGAGACTGAGGGAGGAGAAGAATGTTGGTCAAGGAACTGTGCGTACAGGAGCCCTGACTTTCTGCAGTTGTGTGCTATAACCCTGCCAGCACTTGGCACCCATCAGCAAGATCCGTGCTCCCTCTCGTGGCAGATTCTCACCAGTAACTCCATTGTAACTCGTCCCAGTTAGTGCCAAAACGTGCTTATGCTTAGCTGTAAGAAGCATCTGGTTTCCAAACTTTATGTTACTACGTACCAAACTTAATAGACTTATGAACACGAATAGCACTGAATTCTTTTTTTTTATTGACATTGGGGGAGAAAAATCTTTCACCATCTGATTGACCGAAGTTTGCCAAATAAAAATAGACAAAACAAATGTTTATGTACGTGCAAACATTGCAGATCAAACTGCTAAAAGAAATAACTAAAAGACAGGTCTTGAGCTAAGATCAAGCAGCAGAAAAATAGCAAATAGGTAAATGACTATTAAGTAGGTCTTACTTTGAAACTTCCCATTTAAACAAAGAATAAACAACAATAACACCACCAAATAAAGCCACAGCAGGTAATAGTTGCTCTTCTAAACTTTTATACACTATATATTAATCACTCTGTCTTTCAGTTATTTCCTCTGATAAAACTGACTTCTGTGAAGTCTCAGCAAGGCCATCTTGGCTAAAAGCATAACGTTAGACAAGAGCCTGTCTAATGCCCTGTTAGAATGAAGAAATGGTGGGGGTTGGCTTCTTTTTTCTTTTTTTTTTCTTTGCTGAATATATCTGGAAACAAGAATCTGATTCTATGCGAATATTAGATTTACTTTTCCAATGCTGGCTGGTGTTGGAAGATCCTGGAACGAAAAGGTGGCTCTTGGTAAAGCAAGATTCTTCTTGGTCCGCAGGTAACATAGAAGAAAGTTTTTGGTTTTTTTGTACAAATCATGTTTTATTAAATTGCTTTTTAATTTTTTTATAAACAGTTTTTCTGGGTTTATTTTTTGTTTTAAAGAGATGAGCCATCATGATGTTTCTCTGTAGATACCTGACATTTCCATTTTGTCTTTAGAGGTCCATTTTGGCTTCAGTTCCAGGTTATGTCATTCTATTATACATCATCAGAGGCAGGTGTTCAGCTTTAAATATTGACAGATTTTTCTCAGTAGGAACATGTTGAAGCTTCTAACTCTGCTAAACATATTCATTTGACTGTTACAATCCAAAAACTGTAAAAATGGTGGAATGGAAAGATACAAACAGTATTATTGACACTGTATTGTCAAATGTTTGCACTGAGACCCCATGTACCATAGATTTTATTTTTAAAAAATCATATTTATATCCATTTACATAAGACTTACACATTTTAAAATAAATACGTACACAGTAAATACGTAAATGTCTAGTATTTTACAATAAAACAGATGTAACAATGTAAAGATGAGTGGCTTCATTTGATAAAAGCTTTGGATGTGCACTACTGTCAAATTTTTGATGACAGAGATGCTAAGAGAAAAGGGGGAGATTGTTTTGTTTTTCTGATTGGTTTTGTTTGGTTTTTTTTTAGTAATTTAGGTATTTTTATTATTGTTTTAAACTAACCAATACATGAAAGGAACATCATATCTGTTTGTATGATAAACCTTATGTGTTCTCTTCCCTATTAACCTGTTCTTGCAGAGAGTTTTAATGCTCTTTTCCTAAGTAGTGGTAGTGCACTTCAGGTAAAATAGAAGAAAGAGATGACATCTAAGAGAAAAAAATAAACATGGATTAGCAAGATTCTATGATTCTAATTCATTCTAAAGTGCAACGACAACAGAAAATATAGCACTAGTAAGTTATTTAGTAACTAAGTTACTAAAACATGAGTTTTGAATATTCCTGGGAGGCATGCATTTGTTTAATTTTAGAATTGCAACATAAATTCATTTAATGTTTCACTAATTGTCCTCAGTCAACGCAGACTGCTGCTTACATTAATTTTACAGTTGTTTTCCCTCTGTTTTGGTTCAGCGCTGGGGTTAGTTTCCTGCATCTGGAGACCTTTGCCTGTTCAGCACAAGGCTAAACACACATTTTCCATGTACAGACCTTGCTGTTGTACTTTGTGGTTCTTCTTCCTAGTTCACTGCAACTTGACAGCATTTACCTTTTTCACCCTGATGGTTTCTTTGCTATGGACCAGCTGCTTCCAGGTTATCATTCATATCTTTTTTGAATGCTGCTTCTCCATTTGTCTTTACAAATCCTCTTTGGAAGCTTTCACTGGTAAAGCACATAACTGATTTTGCCAAATCTCCTTTAGTATTTCATTAGAAAAAAGAAATATGTTCTATTGCTTCAGCCTGTGGGAAGAAATCTGTCCTGAATGACCCTTCTGACTTGGCAATGACAAATGTTTTAGAAGTTAAAAGTGTTGGGAAAACTTGGATAATGTGAGTGCCAAATCCCACTGGCTGTGTAAAGGCATTGCAGCTACTCAGCTGGGCCACCACATGTAGCCACCAAGCAGAAAGCCTGATGGGTCCCTTGTGCTCTGTAGTAAACTCTTTGCAACATTAAATGACCAGCAGCCTTAATTGTTCTTAAATTTCTGATATTGAAACTAAACTAAACTAAATTTCTGCACTAAAACAGGCCTGTGTGGAGTATGCTTATATAAATGTTCTGAGAATGTCTGATCATGGTTTCTGACAGCTCATTGTGGTTTCAACAAATGTTCCAAAAAAATATCTGAAATGCAATTTGAAAGCATATGAATGGGATACAGGTGCTGTGAAGAAACACTATAAAGACACTGGAAGGTTGTACCAAACTGATGTTGTTGGCATAAACTGCTTTGAAATACAAGTCTTTGACAATCTCTGTAAGAGAATGTTTCTTACTCTCAGAAGAGTAGCAAAATGCAAGAATCTACAGCCTGCTGTGATCAGAGGCCGTCTGCATTTGTTCCATGTGCAATCTGTTTGCTGCTTTCTTTTAGGCCTGCTCTTTGTAGGCATGTCCTTTACTATAGGAAAAACTCCCTTATCTTGCTATTGTGTGGCAGCTTGTCCAGCTATCCCTCCTCTCTACTGCTTAGTTCCTGGTTCTGTGCATGGAGATACTTCACCAGAGTATCACAGCTGCTGATGTAGTCTAGGCAAGGTGCTAAAAGAGCCTGGGTCTCAGCCTAAGCTGGATCTGGAAAATTTCAGGGGGCGTGTTGTCATAAATGATGTTCCCTTTTGTCCAAGTATCAATCAGCTCCTTCCATGAAGAAACCGTTACTCAGGAACTGTGCTGATAAAATTCTCAAAACTCCTCTGTTGCCCTTCTCATATCCCCCTCTATGGGCAGTTTCTGTTTATGCATTCATTCTTGAGTTTCAGGCAATTTGTTTAAATTTTCAAGTTTGATATAATAGTAAAGGAAATATTTTCCCTTCATGTTTTTTTTTTTGTTTTGTTTTTATCATTGTTGGGATTTTTCCCATTGGTTTTGGGGGGTTTTTGGGAGGGGGAGATGTGGGGTGTTGATTTGACTTTCAGTATAATGTACTGGAATCCAAAGTTACTTTAACTTGCTTTTTGGTTTCTAACCTGCATGGCATTTTGAAATGGCCCATACAGAAAGTGCAGATACTAAAGTTCTAGTTCACACCATCTTGTTCCTTCTCTACAAGGAGTATATGGTAAGTGAGAAGAGAAATAGTAGTATATTACTGTCAGTTAACCTCGTGTATTAGCCTTTACAGTGTAGATGCAAATTTGATATCCTTATAGACCACTCATTTAAGATTGGGATGTAATTGGCAGAATAGTGGACAAGCAGCAAGTACTGATTTGATACATACCACTGATCCTTGAAACACTGCTAATATTCCAATAGAAATTGAAGTTAACTTGCATAGCTTGCATAAGTTCATATACACATCTTTTTGCTCAAAATATGTACCTTCCATACATATATAGTGCCAGAAAAGTCTGCTACTTTACTTTTGTTTGTGATTTGCTACTTTTTATATAATTTTAATATAGTGGGAATAAATGGTTTGGGATCTTAAATTAATTTTTGTTAGCATATCAGTTTTCCATTTCTGCCTTTGTTACGCTCTTCAAGCCTCACCTCAAGTGCCTGGCCCATTACTGTTGGCCTAAGAGATATCTTGGTGATTAAACTTCTTGGTCATGCTTTATTGCTTCCAACATTGCAATTCTGAAGCACATAGGAGAGAAGATTCATATCTCTGCCTTCAGTTTCTGTCACCACTGAACACTGTGAGAGTCCTGTCACTGACTTTACTGATGCAATACCATGCTTGAATCCATACATGCACACATATAAAAAGATTTCTATAGTTTATGTGCTTCATCATCATCTTTGTAGAATCAGCTGGTAAACTTTGCTTTTTCAGAAAAACCAAAGCAAAAAACCCCAACAAATAAACAGACCCCCTCAAGCTTATTTTTTCAGGTGTGGCTCAAAAAGTTCCCTTTTTTACTAAGAATAAAATTTTATGCTCTTGCAATCTTTCGAAGATCTGTGAAGTAAGGCTCATGTCATCAGGAGGATCCTGAGCAATCTACATTTCCCACTGTTAACATTTGCTATTCGTAAGCACATTTTGAACCTACACAGAGTTTGTAAAATCTCGATAACCCCAAGTCTGTACCAGTCTTGGGAATCAAAACAAAAAACCAACAACTTGCTTGCAGATCCTTGCATGTCTTGCCTATAATATGCAACAGCTATTGAAGCATTTTTGATGCCTGATGAGGTTTTGGTGATATTCAAATATTTTTTCCAGCTGCCTTGCAATTTCCCAAGAAATTAAATGGAAACTGTTTTACTGAGAAAATACTAGCTAGAAAATACTAGAAAATAAAATGGTGCCATACTGATATAAGTACTTGTCATGTGTGTATTTTTTTCAAAAGCTGAGATAAAATAGAAAACTGTATTTTTACAGAACTCTGGAATAGTGACTCTGTGATATTCATAACCACATTTAAAAGATATATGGTGAAAAATTTAACATGAATTCCAATACTAAATTTGATCCAAAGTTACATCTGGCTCAGATTATCCTTTCTTTGTCAATTCTGAATGATTTGAGAAGTGCAGGAATCTCTGTAATAGATAAATTTTCAATATTTTCTGTATGGGTAAGGCTTGTTCTAATTTTATACAGCTACCTGATGTTCTAAATTGAGCCATAGCTTTAATTAAAACAAAACAAACCAAAAGAGTACATCTCTTCTGCTTTAGTAGCATTGCCCCCCATTCCAGCTCCTAGTAGAAATCTTTCAAGTTCTCATAAAGTAAGTTCATTCCCTGTGCCTTCTCCCCAAAATATGGTTGGTAGTGTCCTCTGGACTGAGCTTAAGACTGTTGTCATGACCAAATGGCCACCCTAGTGAGTCCTTAGTTATGTCCTCTGCTCCATGCTGGTTCGTGCTTGGATAATGTGGGGTGCAGTGTACAGGTATAAAGAGCTTTCACGGTGGCCCCATCAGAATACTCACAACAATTCAGTGCTGGCTTCTCTGCTAGGCCTTGTCAGCATGAGTATGTGCGAACTGTTGAGCTGTCTAACCTCTGCAGTCGTGATGAAGCAACTGCAAATTGGGAAGAAAAGAAAAAAGGAAAGAAACCAGAACCTCTTTAGAATCATCAGTAAAATATATCTGTTTACTACTGGAAGGATGGCTGTTAAATTGCTCTGTGACTTTCTCTAATGTGATCTGGGCTTGGCCTAATTCAAAACTCAGCACTTCTTCACAGCTGATGTACTGTTGGAATCTGTCTAAAGTGAATACAGTTTAAAATTCAGTTTTGTCTTTATTTTGTTGTAAGTTCTAATGCTCTTACCTGTCATGCTGCTTAAATACTATTGTGGTCGTACTGCTGGGAGATAGGAAGCCAAATCCTGGATGAAGATTTAGGTCTTTGAAATTACTTCCCTTTAAGTCTACTGAGTTCAGTCTACCTAGCTCAAGAATTAACTTGGAAGACCTCAAGTAAATCACTAAATCTGCCTAGTGCCTTAGTTCCACATCTGCAAAATGGGAATATCATCTTCTACATCATACCATGAAGAGATGATGAAATCCATGGTTTATAGTGTTTATAAGGTTCTTATATACTACAGTAATGTGGCTTATGGAAATGCCATGGAAGTTAGGAGTCAATGGAATTCAGTGATGCAATCAGTAAATTATTCCATCTGTAACGGCAACTATACTGTTTTTAAAGGTGAGAAACTTTAAAGGAATTTAGGTAGCAATACCGTCATACTAAGTTCATTATCAAGTTACAGGATGTGATCTCTGCAAGTCAGTGTATTCAATTACTTTGAGATAAGTCTATTTGTAGACCAAAATCCTGTCTATTATTTATTTCATCCTAAATTAGGAAATAAATGGGAATATTTTAAATGGGGCAGTCTGTCTACTAGTATTTCTCAGAACTTCAGGCAGGTATACTTGGCTTTATCTTCCATATACCTGAAGGAACAGCTGTGATGGAATTTCTTTCCTCTCCCTGCTCTTTTACAATGATTTTTAAATTTTACTCACGATCTGCTTGTTAATTTTCCACTCATTTCTGAGTTAGTGTATCTTTTGGAAATCAAAAGATTTCCAGCGAAAATTAAGACTGGTATATAGTAACTCAGTGCCTGAATTTCAGCATTTGCTAACTACTCATCTGCTATGACTGTCAGCAACTTCAGTTATTTGATGGTCAAGGCTAAGCTATTTAGTCTGAAAGTAAAATAGGAAAATAAAGGTGATAGCCCTTTCTAATTGCATTCTATAAAGCACACCCCACCTGCTAGAGAGGCTGATAGGATGAAACATTTGCTTAGATATTATATTCAGTCTCAGTTGAAAGTTAGTAAATAAATTGCTGTCTTTCTGATTGTTTCCTTTACGGCTGTAGGATAGTGAGATGGCCTTTTTTTGTATTTTAAATAAGCCCTGTCAGTCTGAAGCAAACCTGAAAAAATCAATACTCTGCCAAGTCAGTGCTTTTCCATTCCCTGATTCAACTCTCCCGGACTCGGTTCATCCTAGTTAAATGAACACGATTGTTGTGGTGCGAGACAGACGTGCACGAAAAGCGAGCTTGGCATGCTAGGGCGGGCTCGTGCTTTCCAAGAGAGGTGCCGGAGGGAGCTCCTACCGTCACTGCCCATCTTGCGCGACTGCCCTGACGTGGTGGTGAGGCGGAAGCCGGCGGGCAGCGTTTCCGAGGCGCCGGGCATCATGCTGATCCCGTGGACCTCCCGCGGGGGGAACTGCCGCCGCCACGACGGACCGCGCCTGAAGTTCTTGTCGTCGCTCTGTCAACACACAGTTGTATTCGATAAAGCAAAATGAAACTCCTTGATTAGCTATCCTGCTGCGTGCTGTCTCTACCACTGCCAAGTGTATTCTGTGACAACTACCCTGCTCTCTTGCACTGCATCCAGTCACTGTAACGTGTTTGAGACATGCTTGTAAAAGTAAAAGCTTTAGAAATATTAAATGCTGCGGTGGAAAACTCTTCTTAAATCTTTGGCTCGGTATAGTCAAGATATAATATCGGCTAAAGTAAAGCTTCCTTACACAGTGACAGAAAGAGGTTTGTTAATGTATTAGGAGGTTAATATGCATTATTATTGCATTACATAAAGTACTAAAAAAGGATTAAACACTCATGTGGCATGCACAGAATTCATACGCAAATGACATTTTCAGCAAGTCCTTAAATTTTTTTTTTCTCCTCATATGCAGAAGTCTAAGACAAACATTTTTGCACTGGACTCTTATGTTAAGATAAATAATTTCCTTAGTTGGATTTGAGACTCCTCTTTCCAGATAACTATCGCAAATCATACTCAATTAGTACTTATTAACTTTGAAGAACTTGAAGGAAAAAAAAGCCACAAAGAATGAAGCTAAAATCTACTTTTCGTCTTTATTTTTAAAAAAGGTTTAAGTGTCCTAAAGAATAGACTGCACAGGCATCTGACCCACACACATTCCCCCACCACCTGCTCTGGCCAGCAAAACTTCTGCTCCATTCTGCATGGTTCCTCTCTGGAAAATGTTCATCTTAAAGTAAGAGTGCAGTGTCAAATTTAGCATCCAAGATGACACAAATATGTAGCCAAACTGAGGTTACTTAAAAAACCTTGATGGGTATCCCTAAATTTTTTTTTTTTTTAAGTTGTAACTGTCTCTTTTTAACAATGTGAAAATTAACATGTCTTCATGCATTTAATATAATTTTAATGTTTTACTGTGATATTTTATAAATACTGAAAATAAAATTAATTACTTCCTCAAGTCGTCTTTCAGTTCCTAGTGCTAAAAGGTTGTTGTATTCTCTCTCAAGGATCTGCCGTGCCTAGAGATACCAAAGTAAACAATTAAAATGGTTGAAGATGAATAAAAGGTAATAATGGGTACAGATTAACCAGAAGTAGCATAAGCAAACTTGCCTGTGTGTTTTGTGTTGGAATCTGTAATAATAAAGCTAAACTGCTGTAGTCAAAGTTTTCATCCAGTGCTATAAGTGAACCATGTACACCACTTTCTAGAATATTATTTGCATATTCTCGGAGGCCAATGGCTTGTATCCAGCGTATGACTCGATCATTGCTCCATACCAGCACATCTGTAAGGACATTACACCACGTCAGTCTCCTGATAACTTCCAAACTGTACAGCTGCATGTGTGTAGCTGTGCATGCACTGTGGATGTCTTGCTGCTTTATTTCATACATGAGGAATGCCAGCACTATTCATATAGTTTTAGTACTTCCTATTCAGATACTCTATGTGATTAACTATCTTCAAGTAATAATGTTTCCAAAGGAGAAATGTGCTTCCAGAGGGGAATCTCCATACTGCAATTCCTCACACTACCTATATATACCTTTTCAATTTCTAGGCAAGATTTTACAGTGCAAAGGCACAGGAAAAATATCCATTCCTCAGGCTTCACTTGGGAGTTTTGTATTAAACATTTTGTGAGTTGTGTCAGCACATATCAAATACTAATATGCCACAAAGTAAAAGATTAGTTCACAATTTTAGGGACAAACTATTTTTAGTACAGAAAACTGGTAGAGTTGTTAGGGTCCATACCAATTATAAAGCTGAGATAGGAAACCATTTTTGAGGATTTGACTATTCTTAAAAAGTACCCTGCCCTGCCTGTAAGATTTTTAAAAAGTTACTTATACTAATCTTTAGAGTGGGGGACATAGTACTGAATTTCCTTTACTAAATGATGAAGCTTCTTCCTGAACGTTTACAAGTCCAGCTGCTGTGGCTGTTCTGGGAGCAGAATTTCTCCATCAGCTGGCTGAGAGCATCTTGCTTTTTGGGGTCAGGATAAGCTGAAACATGGTGGCAGGCAGAGACCACATCCCACCTTGACCATGAATAACTGACTGATGCAAGGTGAAGGAGGCTATGAACTATTACCCTTGTCCTAGCAGGAGCCACACTGAAGCCACACCAGAATTTGAGGCCAATACCCAATTCCCCTGTGTCAGTCTCCAGCTAGACCCACTTGGGCTGACTGGCGCTGATGCCTGCACATCCAAGGCAAAATCTTTGCATAAGAGCAAATGCAAATGCCATCATTTGCCTTGAGCAAATGCACAGTCACTGTAGCCCTTCAACTTTTCAATCAGCCCTTCAACTTCTAATCAGTATTGTACTTGAGAAGTGCTAACTGCTGTAGTCACTAGAGCTGGAAAAGCTCAAATGAATCAAGGAATTCATTTCTGATAGTTGAAAAAACCCCAACCACCCTAATTGTTACATATAAAAAGAACCATGCAGTGAGCCTGCAGCTGCTCTAGAGAGCTTTACACAGAAAAAAAGAATTCTTCATAATCAGCTGTGAAATCTCCTAATAAGGCCAGTTTTGTTAGGAACTATTCTTATGTACCAATCAACTGACTCAGTGGTCACCCCTCCAAGCAGCATTTTCTATTACACATTCTGACGCAAGAAATCAAAGGCAAAAGTTTTCAAAAGCTGGAGCACAGTGTTAGGGTCCTGAGTGCTCCCATTTTTTAGTGTTGTTCCCTGCACATCCCACTGAGCTGTGCACTGGCCTTCTGCTTCTGAACCTGAAAGAGGTTCAGATAAGATCCATACCCAAAATTCAATTTAGCAAAATTGTGTCAAACCACCATTCAGAATTGCAGCCCCAATTTAGCAAAGTACTTAACTGTGCCTAATTTAAGGAGATAGAATTTGTTCTAAAGAAAGATGGACTTGTGTTAGTTTTGCTTAAAGCACATGCTTAAATGCTTTGCTAAAATGGCATGACAATGGGTTAACAGTGTCAAGCTTCAAAAGAAGAAACATTCCCAGTATTCATTCCCAGGAACTATCACCTTTTATTTCATGCTGACTCATTTCTCTTCGCTTTTCCAGTTCTTTTCTATCATAATTCAACCTCTTTAAACACATGATTCCATATTGCAAGCTTGTTCTGTTATTTAAAGAGAAACATTTACAGAGTTAATAAAGATAATTCTGAAGATGGGAACATATGTAGGATGTATTTCCTGCACTTCACATGAGGTGTTTCACAGTGCCCATGTAGGAAATCTTGAGAACAGAGAGCAAATCCAGTAAAAAAACTCCACAGACTTCAGGAATGAAATGGAAAAAAATAAAATTAGTATGTTTGAATAACTGTTTTAGCATAAGAAACCCAAAGCATTAAAAGTAGTATTCAGAAAAGGTCAGCCCTTGTGAGCCGTGAAATGTTTTGTCAAATCAGGCTTTAAAAAAGTGACAAATCAGACAGTATATTAAAAAGAAATCCACTTCTTGTCACATAAACCTCATTGTCCCTGAAGTTTAAATGCCTTTATTTCCATATTTCCAATTTAGCTTCCTAGCTATATCCCTAGGTAACCCAACAACTGTCAAATTGCTTGTAGTGTTAAGAGCTTTTATGTGTTACACACAATAGCTTTTCATTATTATGAGATCTCAGGGCTTTGAAGCTTAGTCTAACACTTTCTGATACTTCACACCACTTAAATTATTACTGTTTCTGTATTGTCAAGAGTCTATTGATATATTAATGTTTCCCTCCTTGTTACGAAATTTATCTGTACCAGTATCTTGGTTTTGAGAGACATAATTGCAATGTGGTTGTTATTACGAAAGGAATCTCTCTCAATTCAGATTTCTGACAGTCAGCCCTCTCTTTTCTCTATGTTTTCCCACACCAAAACAACAGAAAGTGTTTTTATTCTGTGCAGCACTGAGCACTAGAGCAGACACCTAAGCATTTTTATAGGTTTCAGCCTTTATGCCAACATACCGATGAAAACTATCCACCATTTTTAGGTGCACACGCAGATCTTTCTTTGTCAGGTGGTCCAACATCCTCGCATCCACCAGGCATTCCATAAAATAACTTCGGTACTGGGGTAAACCCAGACTGGGGAGCCATTCGTTACCTATCCATTCATGGTTCATATCACCATAAGCCAGGGTCTACAGAGAGAAGAAAACAGAGAGGGGGAATAAATTCTTGAGTTTGTTCAAGACTGCACCACAGACAGAAAACAAAATATGTCTAAAAGAAAAAAAAACTATGTGTAAAAAAAGGTCAAAAAAAAATTAGTAATTCTGTATTGCTTTGTTTTAACATTGGAAGAGGGAGCCATTGTGAGATATTGGTTACAGATGGCAGATTTTCCTGGTGTATCTTGTTTTCTTATGTAAGTTTTAAGGATTTTTTTTTTTTCAATTTTGAGTTTTAAATGCAAGCAAACTTGTTAGACAATCAAAATGCATGTTTCATAATCTTGCGTGCTTTCAATTGACCTTCTAGAATATTTATGCCAGGCAAACCCTGAACTGTGAACTGGGAATACAAACATGGCTCCAGGGAACTCACTGAGGCTTGTGGGGAGAAAAATTTCATAAAGTTGTAAAAGGCTCTAATGACACTTCATGGCTATACACCTGAAGTCCTTTAGAGATTAAAAGTTAATTTCAGTTGTTTGGCATTCAAGCTTACATTTAAATGAGATATTTTCAGCTGTGAACAGTTTAAACCTAAATTCATCATATGTAGAGCTCAAGAAATTAATCGAGATAGGAGCAAACCATGTTCTTCCTAGAACTCAGGCTTCACTGTTCAGCTAAAATTTCACTAGGGTGAGGAAGGGACTATATGAAAAAGCCATGCCTATTGAGCTATTTTTAAATGAGCTGCCCTATTAAGATGCAAAATAGATTTTTACATCTCACTGTTGTTAATTATTCTGTATTACAAAACAGAACAGAGAAATAATAAATTGCAAGTTTTCTCAACAGGATCATGCTTAGGATCATTTTCAAGCCTATCTTTTTGGTTTTGTTTTTAGTGTCATAAAAAATGAATAACATAATTAAAGCCAGATGGATATATTATCTATAAGGGGAAAATATACTCCCTTTATGTCTCATTTTTGTGAGATTTTGAAGAGAAAAGGAATGTCATCAGTAAAGATAGCAAGATTGTCTAAGTGTGCATATATTAGAGAGAAAAATTTTTAAATGTAGGTAATTGACAGTTCTAACTAAATTATACAATACTATTTGTAGACTGATACTTGTACAATTGTTCTAAAAAAAATCCAGTGTAATTTTAGAAAAGTTAACTCTCAGATTCATGGCATATTTAATTATCTTATTCTGAAAAATGAGGAAAATACTTACTCTCTAAAACTCTTAACTCAATTTTAGATAGGAGATAGAATATGTCTCTGGAATGTGGTAATTCTTTTGTGAAAAATGTTCACAGCATATGTACCTCTTTGTGCTTCACCTGACAGAACTATCTGGAGAATATATTCTTTGAGAAGAACTCTAAAATATGTAAATCATAATTCAGTCATTGAGATACTGTCACAATATTATATTCCACTATGCATATTGATGCACCCAATTACATTATTATTAAATATCACTTTAAAAAGTCATGTGAAAGATCATACCTGAGCCCAACTGCCTTCTTCAGACTCTTTCTGTATTATCAGCAGGAAGCAATTAGTTAAGCAGGTAAAAAGACAATAAAAATTAGTTATAAAGAGATGTGATTTTCACATGCTTGTTAATTAAAATGAAAATATATACATAAAATGCATGAATAAAATAATTGTCCAGTGGCAATGTCCTGGGCTAAACTATCCGAAAAATTAAAGACCAAAACCATAAAATGTAGCTGAGTTTTCAAGACAGAAAATCATTATATCTTGGTGAAATTTTATAGCATTATTTAAACACGTCACAGTTTCACAATTAAAGCATAAACATTTACTTAAAATTTTGGGCATTAGTGATGTAGTTTTTTGTTCCTAGTTTGATTTTGAAGCATTCACAATAAAAAGCTGTCTTCTTGAGAATGCATTGTAAAAAAGCTTTTTGTATAACATTTTTTATGGAAAAATTATATTTTTCTGTCTCTCCAGTTAAACAGGATCAACTCTACTTCTTGTCAGTTCAGTGCTGTTATATTTGCATTTATCTTTACCAACAATAATAAAACTGGAAATGAGCTCAGTTTAAAAAAAATTATTGATGAGAATTTGCTTCCTTACTGCTGATGAGAAACCTTTAAATACTATAAAAAGCATAAAATTTGAAGAAATAATTCCTTATTGGATTAAAATTTAGCTCCACTACCTCTCCCACCATTTATGGATTGGGCTGACTATAAAGTTACTGAAGATCATTTTTTTCAGAGATCTCACTGGAAAATTGTATCATATTTTGCAAGTACTTTTATGGAGTTGCTATGATATTGTATTAACAACCAGAACCTAAAATAACATATATTCCAAATTGAAAAGAAAAAAAAGTCTTACTTTAGTCTTAAGGGAGAGTTTGACAAAAATCAATAAATAAATGACACTGTCCATACACCTGAAATCAAAGATCATGAATATCCAAGTATGGACAGGAAAGACTCAGCATTAATGAAAACATGGTGTAATGAACAGTTTCCAAGCCTTATTTCTTTCTATGTCAGCAAATACAAAACAGCGTTTAGAATAAGAGGGAGTAAATTACAGGGGAAATGTTGAACCTGTAACTGTGACAATTTCATCTCATTAAATGAGGTTTCACAGTGGCACTGGAACTATTATAGACTCTAGAAGTCCAGTACTAGTTTTAGGGTCACACAATTTTTGTGATGGCAATATCATTTGTAAATTCTTGTGCTGAAAGATTATCTAACTGTTTTTTAAATTCAATTTCATTACTCCCTGCACCTTTCTAATGGCATGCTTTGGGAAGCAACCTACAGAAGTTATGGCATCTGTGTTAAAGCAGGAGCAGCCTGTTCTCTTTTGAGCACTCAAACCATTTTAAGTGGAAGTGGAATGACTAACCGTTTTAGCTGGAGCAGCAAGATTTTCCATTTCTTCATGGGTCACCCAAACATTGCCTGAGGGCTAGAGATAAGGCCCGCAGGAAGGCAGGTGGGATCCACATTAGGTAAGCAGTGGTAAAGAAGAAAGGCAGCACCACTGTAAGTTAACAGCGCATCACCATCAGCACAACCACGTTCTCGCCTCTACCGAGCTGCAACTAGAGACAACTTTAGACAAATTGGTTTGTATCTTTCATTAGTGGCTTCTGAACAGATGTGATGGAGTTTTACAACTAGAACTGATGGATGAAATCCGGCAGAGCACTGCCACAAAGGAAAGAATAATAATTAAAACTGCATTTCATAAACACCTGGCAAATGCAACCTTTAGCTCACAGCTCTGTGCAGAGGTAAGCTTCAGCTCCCAAAGATTTTTCAGCCTAAATATTCTTCACAAATCACATTCTCATATTGTAATCTAAATAATTAATAGTTCTACTATAAATCAAATATGTCAAGATAATTCACTTGTAAAACTATTTGTCCTCATCCTAATTTTTTTCATTAAATGAACACTAGGACAATGAGGAAAGTCAGAGAAGGAGCATGGAAGTGTGCTGTGTTTTCTGGAGACCTGAGATAAATTAACTCTTGTCCTGAGAAAGAGAAGAAGCAGAAAGACTGGGGACTCAGAAATGCACGTTCCAGGGCAGGGCAGCTTTGTGCACAGACAGTTACTCAGGCAGAATTAAAAAAACAAGGCAAAAGTATTCCCAATGTTTTTAACTTGAACATGATATTCTCTCACTTCATAAGTGTGCTTTTTTGCTTTATAATATCCTCTTATGCTTTTAAAATCAAAATTAATTTTGTGTAGTGATTCAAACATCATATTGAGTCTTTACTGCTTTACTTTGGTAAAATACATTACAATTCATAATATTACCATGGTAATGACACACGAAACTGTTTTCAGGGGAGAAAGTATCAGACAGTGAACCACAATATTTAAAGAACATGAGCAACATGAGGATAAAAGGGCAATCAATAGCAATAATAATGCTGTTGCCCAGTTGCTTATGTAGCTCTGTGGATCTGGTACCTTACAAAAGTATCTGAATTCTAATTTCCACCAAAAGATTCTCCATACATTTAATGAAGACAACATATTACAAAATATAAACATTATTGACGTTGTTATTACTAATGACTTGCTAGTAGAAATCTGAGCTACACTACTTGAGTAGTAGTCTTTGTTCTTCACTTCTATGCCATGTTTGCCATCTGACCAAGCCTCCTCTTTGTTAATCTTCATTGCTTCTTTCATTGCCATTACCCTCAGCATATCTCAGCATTAAAAACTTCCTTTTTGTTATCTTGTTTCATTTTGTCCTCATCATTTTGGCCTATTTTTCCTGCTTTTTATATATAGCACATTCATTCTTACTCTCCTCTGATCTATTTCCTTTCTCTTTTTTATATATTCCCCTTTCCTTTCAGATTTCTATCTCCGTGCATCTTTACTTGCTTCCCTCCTTTCTGCCACCACTTTCTCTTCCTTCCTCACTGAATGCACAGGCTCATCTGCTTTCCAGGTGCTCCTCTCACACCTCCAATCACTGCTTCTCTTAAAGGCATGAAGAACCTAAAGCCAGCTGACTTATATTAGATAACATTTGAAAAGGTGCAAAAAGGGGGAATGGGAAAAAGACTCAAAACAGCCGTGTTCCTACATAACCTCTCCCAACACCTGCCTCCCCTCCGCCCCAAGAAAGGAAATAAAGAGAACAAACAAAAAGAGAAACACAATCTGATTAGGAGGTACAGATGATTTGAAGGAAGACAAAGGCAAAAATAAAGGCAAAATTACAAATAAGATGCTCCATACTGATTTGGATAACATCAAGGATAATCAAAACAATGCCTTAAAAAAAATACAAATATCTGATAAAAGAAAACTATCAGTAATCAGCAATCAAGCAAGTGATGAACAGGTAGTTCTGAGCCTTTATTAGACAGTTCTCACTGATTGTAACGTGTGTGTTATCATAGACCCACTCTGGTACTACAAAAGTTTTTCTGCAGACTCCTGTAGGGTGAAGTGGGGAAGAAAAAGTTAGCTGAACAGGACTCACTGTTCTGGATGTTGGAGGTGCTGATGGACTTGTCAGGGATACCATCTCCTGGATTGCTAATCGGAGTTTGAGGCGATGAAGAGGATTGCTGATTCCAATTTCTCTTTGAATCTCAGTGTCAGACAGAGCAGACATGATAGCTCCACTCTTCACGTTGGCACGGCAGGCAGCGACATACCAGGCTGGCATCCCTAGCCAGAGCTGTCAAGAGAAAGGACATTTCATCCAAAGCACTCCTTCATTTCTCAAATGAAATTACAATCAGAGAATATCCTGAGTTGGAAGGGACCCATTGGCATCATCAAGTCCAACTCTTGGCTCTGCACAGAACAGCCTCAAGGATCACTTCATGTGCCAAGAGTGTTGTCCAAAAGCTTCTTCTGCTCTGTCAAACTTGGTGTCATGACCACTAATATTCAATTCATTAATGACCAATATTAAATAAGTAATTGTCAGGACACCTCTCAGTCTGAATAAGCATGGTAACACACAAATTAGTATGAACATCATATTCTTTAATAAAACAAAATTGTTTCACAACCCTTGAAATTCCCATTATTTCATGTGAATTCTTTTTGTTTTTACTGTAATCAGAACTTTAAAGCAAGGCATGTTTTGAATTATTTTTAGAGCTGCCTCCATCCCTTGGGCTACTCCTTTCCCAGGTTTTTAGTGACTAAGCACAAGGCAGTGTTACTGCCTATCTGATAATCTCATGTACAGAAAATCATCTAGGAGGAATTAAGTATTTTTTTCACATTTGTACTAAAATGGCTTTCTTTTTTTTAACATGGTGTAGTCAAAGGACACAGTCTTACATTTCTCAGCTTGTATTTTCTAAGTAGAAATTAATCAAGCCCAGTTCAAATAATCAACCTATCAGGGACAGACTTTACAGTAAATTTGGGAACAGTCTGGTTCCAGCTAGGAATACTGATTAGAAAGTGCAACAAAATGTGAGCACAGCTCCATCACCAATGGATTTAGAAGATATGTACTTATATGCTTTTCCTCTCCTTATGTTAGTCTTACTAGTCCAGGCCAGCAACAGCCCTTTCCTCCACCATTTATTCTTTCCTTGTAAGAGGACCTACCAAGTGGGAATTATTCTTGCTTTTCTCAGCTTTATCATTGTATGCTGCCTCACTAATATGACTGTCAGTGTCTACAGCTCTTTTTTCCCAAAGGAGGCAATTTCATATCAGGGATGCATATTTGTGAGATTTTTCATCATGGTATGAAGTACATTATACTTAGCAAAACCTGTGAGAAAAGCATAAGCAATGAATGCCATAATCACTGCGATTTTAGGGATAACAATGGAAAACAAAGACCTAGCTAGGTGCATCTCAAATAGGCCATCAGAATTAGCTGATTCCATTGGTTGTCTTTTCTTTTTTCTCTTAATAAAGGCTTACTAAAAGAGGACACAAGGTAATGGAAAAGAGGAAATTTGCCAAAAAATTTAGAAAGCAGCAGCAAATTGAAAGGATTTTCATTTCATTTGACACAGTAGAGGGAAGAAGTGTGTGGTTATTAAGAGTTTTATACTTTATCTGGGAAATATTTCCATAAAAGACAGCTGTTAGGTCACTTTTATGTCATAGGGAAACAGACTTGAGTGTCAGGTTGCAAAAGGCTCAGTCAGGCTTTGAGACCTGAAGTAGCACAGACTTTGAGAAATGACTTTGTGTTTGAGTAAGTCCTTCCCACTAATGGGATTAGACACCACCCTCCATCCGATGCTAAACTGAACCTTAAAAACATTATCTAATTCTAGCAAACTGTTCCAAAATAAAAGTTTCATGAAATAAAAAAAAAAAGAAAACCAAAAATTATGTCAATAACACTCAGCTGCACATAAATGGCCATGAGAAAATCATGCATAGCTTTAAAACATATTTCATCACCTCATTTATTTTGACATAAAGTTTTTTTACACATGCACTTGAAAAGCAGAAAAGCATAAAAACTGGGAGTTATTCACCCTGCAGAAATAGATTAAACTGTTTGCTGCTCATTAGGAAATTATTTCTTTAACAAAATAAGTAAATTCTTCAACAAGATAGCTTTCTAGCAGAAAATGATATTAGATGAAAAGTGTCTAAAAGAGAACACAGAAATCATTATAGACAGAGATCTCAGACATCAAGATCAATGTAGTTTTCCAGAATTACTTAACACAAAATTCTTAAAATATTTCTCAACTATATCTATGCTACATACAAGCAACAAAATAAATGCTAATGCTGAAAAGCCCTATTAAGTTTGAAAATTTCACAATATACTTCTTAAATTTGAGTATTTTTCTCCTTTTATATTTACTGTAGTTGAAGTGACACATTTTTCTTTAGGAGAGTACAAAATGCACAGTGTCCATCTGCTGACTGAATGCCCTGATGCCCACTGAATAAACACACTACTCCTATTCTCATATCTTTTTATCATCAGTATTCAATCTGCACTGACTACTGCAACATAAACTTCTTTTTGAGTTCTCCTGTGCTACTGTCATCATATTCTCCAAGAACTTCATAGATTCTGATTTCTCTTTAGAGTCTCTCTCTTACATAGTGAGAAGCATATCCTATTTTTCAGAAAAGAATCAAGAGAAAAAAAATTAGGGCTTAACTTGTGTCCTGCGTTGGGAATACAAGCATCATAAAGTCACCCCAAGACAGCTTGTCAAAAACTGCTTGAAACTGCAGATCGCCTTGAAAGGTGATAGTATTAGTATTCAGAAATATAGAACTTTGTATGTTCATGTCTCCAGGAAATCAGCTTTTACTGCAACACTAAATATTTCTGACTGATATAAATCTGGTTACAGAACTCTTAAAGTCATATTAAAAAGTAAAGTAGTGGCCTAATTAAGGATTGTTCCATATTAGCAGAGATTTTATTTTTGGGAATGAGGATATAATCCTATTTTCCAGGGTCTTATACAAATGCTTGTACTGACTTCCTGCAGTTTTCATTTTGTATTTTTCATTAGTAATTAGCAATTCAATGTGAAGTAAAAAATTTGTGGATATTAGCTGCTTTCATTTCTCATCTTTCATTTATTCATTAACATATTTCTGTCAAAGGTTTGGAGAGAGATCTCATTTTCTATTGAAGGGAAAAACTTTAGAAGGTCTAACTGATGATCAATGGATGATAGCTACAGCAGGCAGGAGAAAAGTTGTGAAAAAGTAGAGATGCTTGGTAAAGAAAGGAAAAGTCACTTGTTCTTTGAGCCAACAAACAGTTTGTGTCTGCACTGAAGTGTTACAGCTTGCCATGTAAAAGTGACTTTGGATTTGTATAAGAACATTCTTACTTTCTGTCTTCTCCCCTCAGAATCTCTGTAAGTTTTTTTTTAGTAGTTCTTTCACCTAAAACATTCATTGATTGCTTTGTCAAAATTGATGACAGCTCTGCTGAATAGTTTGTCTTCTTGATTTCCAAGACCCACTCCTTTAGGTCCTCCAAATAAAGGGCAGCTCTCTGCACATTTTATTTCAGATGTGAAGGCACTGCCTGTCAAATCAGAGCTTTCAACCTGGATCTCCCACATTGCAGGTGAAAATGGGGAGAGGAAAACTTTTCTCCCCATTATGTTTTTAAAATGCAGAAAGATACAAATTATTTACATTTATTTAAAATTAGCACATCATTCTACATAAAATGTCTGTGGGGTTTCTAGACATGTAGAGACTCCGTGATTCAAAGATTTAAAAACTTTGGGATTCAAGCACATTTCTGGTCCTCATTCTACTGTGTAATTCTGCCTTACTTTTTTCATCTCTAGTCTGTAATTTACAGCACCCAGTGTCAAAAGCTATGTAGTGCTGACAGCACAGTGCACAGGGGGAGAGGAAGAGGCTGTGGCAGTTTCTTTTAAGGTTTGTAAGGACAAGCACACAGAAGCAGTCTGCAAATGCAACTCAATTCTTCAAGTTATGGCAAATACTTACCTCCAGCCAGGCAACCACTGTTGGTCCATCCCACTGTGCAAAAGGCAAACCTTTTCTCCGAGCCTCTTCCAGAAGTTCATGTCTAAAAATGGATCAAGAAATGGTAAATATGTGGAACTGTGTGTTGAGACAAAAATATGCAACTCTGCCTTTTTGTGAAGGGTAATAACAGTGAAGCACAATGACAGGCATAGAAAAAGCACAGAACACACCAGTTAACAATACAGCTCTTTGTCCTGTTTAATGTAATCTCAATCTATTCCCAATTCTTCAGTTTTTCTGACATCCTTTTAAACATCTAACATACAAAAAGAGAGGTTTCTGTCTCTTCTTTTGCCAAAGCAATAAAAAAATCGGTATACCCTATAATAAAGGGGTATCAAAACAGACACTGGTGAAGAGAAAACTGAGGGACTTCTCCTGACACTAAGTTAACTCTGGTCTGGTAATGACTCAGTAAGGCCCAGAACTGGAAACTTCTAGACATGAACTAAGCATGGATATAATGCAGCTGGATCTGAGAGGTGTCTGTGTTTGAAACACTAAGCCAGTGCACCAGCTATGCACAATGCTAGGGTGTGTGGAGTACAGCTACTCTGTACCTTAAATATGCCATCTGTGGCTATTTAAGAGTTGATTGTATCTCTAGTAGTTCCATGTTTGGATCTTTTAAATTATTGATTATATATGAAAGAGTTCTATATGGTTTACTGATGTATATATTTTTATAATTATAGAATTTATGTGATTTCTCAATTTTATACATATACATAAATGTCTCCCTATTGGGTTGATCAAATAGCAATACAGCTCCTGTATCTGCAGTTTTTCTGGACTACAGCTGGTGAATATGTAAAGCATCATTCTCAAAGCTTAATTGATACTTTTAATATGGCTATATTAACGATTTGGCTATATTAACTATTGGTAACATATAAACTAGTCAGCTAGGCTACCAGGAAAATTCTCTATATTAGAAATATTAAGCAATTTCACCAGACATTTCCACTGTGGTGATGGTGTAGAAAAAGCAGTCCTTCAAATGTCTTTTTTTTTCTGTATTTAACAACATGTTTTCAGCTGCCTCCTACTGAATGAAACACAAAAGAATGCTCTCTGCAACAAGCCATAGTGAAAAACAAATTAGACAAGGACTATGCTAATGTAGTATTAAAATTTGCTTATATTCCCAAATAACAGGAAAATCTTGGAATTATGGCTTCAGTTTTTTTCTGTCCTCCTTTATTACTACAGCCTTTGTAGTTCAGTTATCCCTTGACAATTCATGGCTGCCTTAGCAGCCTTTCAAATGTATGTACTACAAAATCACAGCAGATAAAAGCAATGGAGTGATTTTACTTGTAAGGAGCAGTCCTTTGGGGATTTTTGCATTGCCAAGGGGCCACACTGAGAGAATGTGGCTTTAGAAGGAAATGGAACTCAAACAAGAGATTTTGCATACAGGTTTAAATCCCTGGCTCTGAATATTTATAGAAAGAAAGCTGCTTTATTTTCTGAGTTTATGCGGTAGTAATATGCAGCATTACAAATACCTGACATCATTACTGAAGCTGATGGAGCTTCTCCTCCCACACAGCCTTTGCAGCATACCTTTCCATTGTCACTCAGATATCCTAAGCCATTGAGGAGCTAGCCTTGATTTCTCTGAAAGCATAACCCTCAGCAAAACGAAATGCTGCTCGCTGGGTACACAAGCACCATGTTACCTTCAGCAGCTGATGGGGATGCAGGAACGCCCAGGGAGACAAGTAGTGAATGAAAGGTATTCACCTGTCTGCTCTGGAGAGCAGAATTAAAGCATGGCCAGACTTGGCCACATCCCAGCTACCTGTGGATGATGTATTTGGGTTGCAGCCTTCTCTCAAGGTTGGTTCTGCAGGTGCTACAGTGGTGCTGTACCTCCCTCAGATGCTACAACAGGCTGCAGGACTCCTGCTGCTACCAAGTCTGAGAGCTGGCATGGCCATCCTTAGGGAGAGACAAGCTTCCAGGAATGCCCCTGCCTCACCTGTCCACTTTTGGCAGAGCATGGACTGCACAAAACCCTGTACAATGTGCTCCCTCCCCACAACCTGCCCAAGCCCAGGGAGCAGCCCCTTCTGCAGCTGGGAGTCCCATGTGGACACCAGCCCTAGAGGAACCTGATCCCAGTTTCCTTTATCTGGGCTATTCTCTTCAGTTATCCCAGCTGAAAGAGCAGGGCTGGCTAACATGCTAAGTAGAAAATGACATAATGGCTTTGAGGGTCTCTGGCCTTCCTTGCTTGTGTTGGTCTCCTGCTCCAAACAGGAGAGCAGCAGCACCTGGACTATGAGGAGGTGGGGAGAAAATCTTTTCCTCTTGGATTTGGTGTTAAACCTCTGCGTGGCTTCAGGAACTGAGAGGCCTGAAGAAGAGGCATTGGCACTTTAAGGTCTCACTTCTATGAAAAATTCAGTCCCTTTATACTGGAATTACAAAGTACATATTTCTAGACAGTCTTCAGTGACTTTGCAACGTTTGTACTGAGGCTTGGTGTGGAGCCTTAGAATTATTCCAGTGATTCTCAAACCAGTACATTCTCCCAGAGTGGGAAAGCAGTTCTGTTACTTCAGAGGCAGTCTGGCTCACAGAGCTAAAGGAAAACAGAGTTGTGGTTATTGATTTAGGCTGAAAAAAATGGGGCTGGGCCAGAAATGAGATACCATAAATATGTGTGTATATATATTTTTATATATATGTATATGTACTGTAGCCAAAGCCTCAGTTTGATAAATATAATCCAAGTGGTCTTTGCATGTAGAAGGAAATTGCTCTAAGTTTAAAATATTTTTAGCATAAAGTTATAAATCCTGTACTTGGACATGCACATGAAATATAGCCATCATAAGGGTTGTGCCTCACTCATTGATGCAGAAAAACAGTAAAAGGACTTTTATAATATTTTGTTCCCTTCAGAAGAATTTAATGCTTCAAAACTTATAATTCCTTCCTCAGATGATTCTTACAAACAGCATTACAATATTAAAGTTTATTGAAATTATAGTTTACTTTTGGAATATTAGTCTTTGACTACTTAATACAAACTAGGAGATCTGTAAAACTTGAACCTTCAATTTATAAGCGAAAACTAAACCCAGAATTTCTAGTTTTTGACTAAGAGATATATTCTTTAGTTGGGAGTCAGTGAAAACTCTTTTTTTGGTAATATGAACTAGCCTATAGAAAAAAAATCCACACTTTCATTAAGTTAAAAGTATCATCTAGGAAAAAATATGCACTATTTTGACCAATTATGCAAATCACCTGAAAAATTAATCCAGTGACCTGCCTGGTTGGGAATAGAAAACTATTTTAGAATGGACAGGATATTGTCTACAGTTATGTCTACTTATGAGACAGTCACTGGCTTCATGAAAACAGAACCCCAAAGCAAAACCACAGTTCAATTTTCCTTGCAAAAACATACAATTGATCACAGGAGGAAGAAGAGACAAATACCCTAGAGCTTATCACTTCCTCTTCCCTTCATTACAAATACAGGGATTGGGGCATCATGAAAAGAATTATACAGCCAACCTAATTTAGAAGGTTCTTTGCAGGGGAACTGGGGATTTTCCCCTCCTCAGACTATGTCAGAAGAGTACTACATACTACAATGTGTCCATGCTGCACTGGCAAGGATGAAAGGAATTAAAATGCAATTATTTCCATGCTTGCTCAGGTTTTTGGCAGAATATGAAAACAAGCTGATAAGGAAAAATTGACATTAATTAGGCATTACTAGAAATGCTATTATTTTGCAGATAGGGCTTTAAACCACTTACTACCATTGGAATGAATTCCAAATTAAAGCCATTTTATAAAAGATAACATTATTACTGCTAAAGAACAAAATCCTCTTCTGGGAGATATTATGGAAGCAACTGGAATATGCTGTTTAAAATATATCATTACTCTGAGCCTGGTTTTGTAAAGTCTGGAAATTTAATTAATATCAACTGTTTAACATCCATCCAAAATTGAGAAATACTTTTATTTGTGTGTTCTAGGGAGTGCCTCATAAAGCTGTTTTCACCTTTTTATCAAAGAACTGTAAAGAAAAGTCACATAATGTCGAGCTGTGTTGTGAAAAATCACATAATGTGAAGCTGTGTGTTGGAGAAGCAGAGTTGCCTCCCTAGCACTGACTTCTGATGTTTAATCCTCCCAAAAATGACTTCCTAAAGTCACTGTTAACACTGGGCCCTTTGCCTCAGCACCATTCATCCTTGAGCCAGGTACAACTAACTGCCCAGACCAATCTACACACCTGAGAGCACAAATGTCTCCTAGCATGGGGACTTAGGAATGCTTCAAAATTCCTTGGACAGGAGAAGCACATGGAAGCAATAGGAAGGCAGAAATAATGAGTGAAATTATGTTACTATCCTGCAAATCTACTTCATATGTATTCTTCTCTTGCACCAGGGAAATTCTAGCTCTGTATCAGCAGCTGTCATCAATTCACTGCATAAAGCCCAATGAACTTTATTAAAAATATTAATAATCTTTAAATAGAACTGTGTAGGAAGTTAATGCTATCTTGCCTTAAAGTGTGTCATTCAGTGGCATTCAATTTTCTTCATGAAGACAAGGCTGCCCCCCATGAAGCAAACAAGCAATGACAGCTTAGGATTTCTGACACACATAATGCAAACACTCTGTGCAATACACGACGCCCAGACACGGTCTTGATGAAATGTAAACAATACTTCAACACAGACCTATCTTCATATTTCTGCAAGTAATAGGATTTACTCTGATATCTAACAGGGTTCACATGAAAACACCTCGGGGATATTCTACTGCACAAAATATATAATGTCTCTTAATTAAAATATAATCATAAATGCGAGATAAATTGAAAAGGAGGCGCAGTGAAGTCAAGAGCCAGATCATGTTTGTAAAACACAAGCAGATTTGATTTAACAATTTTGCTAATGGGTAATTTAGATTGTGAAATGGCCTTTAGTCACAGACATTTTCTCAAACAGAAAACAGATTGAAGGTTTTACCTAGCAGGTCCTCTGATTATGAACT